CCTCACGCGTCCGTGCCGCACTGATCTCACCTTCGGCTGCACGCAGTTTCTGCGCAAGCGCGTCGGCCCTCGCCCTAGATGCTTCGCAGGTGTCCTTCAGCCGCTTCTCGGAGCGGCGCAACTCATCAACCTCCCTCTGCCTGCCTTTCCGCAGCGGCGGGCAACCTCCAACGCCTCCGCAGCACGCCGCGCCTCACCCAGCTGCGACTGCAACTCCTCATTGTGCAGCCGCAAGGCCTCGCGCTCCTGCGCTCCACGCCGCGCCTCCCTCAGCTGCGCCCGCAAATCATCATTGCGCCGCTGCAGCGCATCGACACTCCACTGTAAGCGGTGTCCTCCACTCGGTGTTGACTGGGGCCTCTTCATCCACCGCCGCGGCCCATCCCGCCCCCGCTGCATACCTGCCGCCTCGTGCTCGCAGGGGGTCTCACCCAGCACCGGCGTTCGAGCTGCTTCCTTATCCTTGCCCATTTGAAGCAGGATAGCGTGCTGACCATGTGTTTTGTTCGGGGCGTCTTTTTTTGTTGTGATTATTGCATTCTGCTGTCGGTTATTTGTATTGTTGATGTGTGTTGTTTCGTGTGGACTATGAAGCTGCGTTTTATCCATCGATTGTTGTTCAAGATTTATTTTTTCATGAGGTTGGTATGTTGCAATTGTATGTTTTGTTCTTACGCTGTGTTCTTCTTTTGCTGTTGTTAGAGTTTTTTCTAACTCGTTTGCGCCGTCGTATAAAGTTGCTGGAGCAGGAGTAGTATTTCCTGATATAGGTATTTCGAGCTGATGTTTCTCTTTTGGGCTTGTTAATATGTTTTTTTCTGTGGTTCGTTGGATGTAAATGTGTGGGTGACTCAATCGTTCAATATTATGTGGTTTTACTTCTTGTCTTTCCGTCTTGGGTTCTTGGAAGTGTTGTGGAAAATATGGTTCTTTTTGGCTCGAATACAACGCTTCGATGTGCGTTAAAAGACTGTTCTCACTATGTTCGACTTTTTGTACGTCAGCTTCATTGGCATTATACGTACTCACATATTCGTAACGTTCGACGTTTTTGTTGTTGTCAAGATTGCGCAGAGCACTTAATTCATTCTGAAGATGCTCAACCGTACGTCGTTGTTGTGCCAGTTGGCTTTGTGCATCAGCTTCCTTACTAGTGGCCTCGTCCAGAGTCGCTTGAAGCACGGCAATCTCGCGCTGCTTCTCCGCAACGTCGCGCTGGTACTCACTATTTCTAACTCTAAGCATTGCGAGCTCAGCCTGCAAGTTTTCCTCCGCCCGGCGAGAATCCTTTAACAGGGCCTGTAGATGTTCATTATGCCTAAGTAACTCATCCATTTCCCCGCGTTGCACGAAAGTAACAGGATTGTCCTGAGCAAGTGGTATTGTAGATAAAACGCTTTTTTGGCACCCCGTGTCACTGGAGGTACTCGTGCTTTCCTGTCTTTTCCAGAGGGATCTTGTCGAGTGAAATGTGCACAATGAGAGGAGGTGATCAATATCCTCCGAAGAACGATCCGCGCTGTGAGTCACGCGGAATTGGGCTTGAAGCTTTCCGTGCGAGCGTGTAATTGCAGAGACGCATTCTGCATGAGCCCCACAGCAGGCAGTCGCCTCACAAGTGAGTTCTCGCAAAAGTTTCTGGGGGCAGTTACCCAAAACAGCCTCCCAAGCATCACCGTCAATGGATATCGTATGATGCGTTGATATAGTAGGGGTAGTATACATCAATGACTCAGCTGACAGCGTGGTTACCACTGATTCAGGATGAGCGGCCTCAAGCCGTGCCTCAACCAGCTCTGCTTTGTGTGTGTTATTAAGATCCTTCAAAGCAGGAATTTCGTTCCTAAGCTCCTCGTTGTGAAGCAAGGTCTCCAATTCTTGCTGTATATATGAGCTCGCTTTTCCTTCCTTACATCCTTCAACTTTTAATTTCAGCGCACCGTTTAGTTCCTTCACCTTGTTGAGGTGTTCCTTCAGAGCTTTCTTGTCGATTTCAGGTTCCGCAATTACCCTTTCAAGAACCCTGATTGAGTGCAGCATCTCAGTAAGTGCACCCATGATTTCTTCTCTCCCAGTTTGTTGCTCCCCTCCCTGGACTCTTCGGATTTTTGTTTCAGATGACTCATTATCCATATCCCAATCACAAGGCTGCTGGAGAAGCCGCGAGTTGTCATTAGTTGGATTGGTTAATGGGCTCAAGCTGCCAATTTCAGAGGTCAGAAGTTTCACCGCTTTTTCTCCATCAGGTTTGAACTGTTTGTGTTCCTTCTCATGTTTCTCACGCAACGTCTGAAGCTCGCCGTGCGCATTAGGTGTGTGACATGGTTCGCTCGAAGAGAGAGCCTTCGTGGCGCCTGTATGATGTAATGCAACATATTCCAGTAGTTCTGGGCGGTGCATCGCAGCTATCCTTGAAATGGCGCAAGTAGTGGGAATGGGTGAAATTATACAAGAACGGAGAATCGTTTTTTCCTCCGTCAGTGGAGCCGAAGATGGTTGCTTTGAGCCGTTCTCAGAGCAACGTATGCGCCTCTGCAGCGCTTTAATCTGAGATAAGAGACACTCCTGCTGCTCGCGACTGCGCGAGTCTGACACAAAGGTAGGTGAGTCACATGTCTCAAAATAGTTTAGCTGCGTCAGGACCCAGAGGTGAAGTGGGCCTGCGGCCTGTGAAGCCTTATAAGCCGCTTTATTGCTGACTTCTCGGCTCCTACATCGTTGAAGAATCTCCAACCGGCGCTCCGCCGAAACCTTCGAGGAGTCAAACTCTGCAACAAGTGAAACAAATCCTGTCCGTTTAGTGACCGCCTTTACATAGGACCATGAATATGATTCCGGGCGAATCCCAAGGATTTCCATGACATCGTCCATTATGCATTTTACAGTGGGCGGGGGCTTCTGGTAAGACTGAACCTCCCGAAGACATGCAGCCTCAATACCCCTAACCTGAAGACGAGCGTGTTCAATTTGGTTCTGGAGAACAAACTCATGATCCTTCGCACTTTGCACGCGTAATCGCTGAAGCATTCCACATAGCTCACCTAGATATCTTCGGTCCATTTCAAGCTGCTCTTTTTCACCCACCCCAGGGTTTGCATATGAAACAGATACACGGGCAATGTATTCTGAAAGAAATGTCACATTTCCTGTTTCGTAGCACCACGAATTATCTTTCAAAACTTCAAAGGCGACCAAACTGCCCACAGAAATGACATCCATGGGGAGTTGGAGGGGCAGATTATCCCAACGCCGTGGGGCAGATTCAACAAGCATGTTTTTCTCTCTCACACACCCTCTTTTGTGGTTGTTGTTGTTCCTTTAATTTTGCGGCTTCACCAAAAAAGTAGTTTTGTGAAACGTTGTTTTTCCCCTTCTTAGGAATATTTCAGGCAACCTCCCTCTCCCACAGAAAAAAAAATGTCTCACAATGTATATATATATTCCAATAAACTGTTTTTCCTTTCAATATGTTGATGATATTAATGACTAGTAAGGCAATGGTAGCAAAAGCAAAATTTCACCCTTTAAAAAAAAATTGTTCCTTTTTACTGGCTTCAACCTACTTTTCTTCGCTGTGTATGTTGTGACTTCAAAACTATGCTGTTGCTACAGCAACAGCAACAATACTATGTGTGATGTGGTGAAATCGCTATTTTGTCACTCACCACAGCACTGCGCTGAGCCCACGACAATAAATAACATATACGACAGTAATCGGGGCAAAAGAAGAATACTGATTACATCTCAGTAGACCTTCACAAGCATCAAAAACAGTACATGTATACACACCAAAAACAATCCTTTAGACGTAAGGAAACAATACACACACATAGATGGACAGACAACTATATAAAGGTAGCATTTATCATCAGGGTGTAGTCAGACACCTTCATAACACCTACAAGTCCCGTTCAAATAGTACAATTCAATGATAGTTGTCACCCCGACACAATTCCCGTCCTTCAACTCTCTTGATTGACTCACTACTCCTATAAATTCAATAGGAGAAAGACTACGAAATTTTGTCAAGTACTTTTGCAGGATCTCAACCGGACACTGTTTTTCCGTCAATTCATTGGCGTGTTATTGAAGGCATTCTGTTGTTCTTGAATAATATGGGAATAGTAACTCATAATCAATGACAAGCAACTGGCAAACCAGTTCAAACCCCTTAAAAACACAGACCACATCTTTAATCCCTTGCTTGAGCTCAAACTCTTTTTGTTGCAATTACACATGCGCCTTTTTCATATCACCCATTATCGTAGGAAGCTCTTAAACTAAACACACATTCTCTTTCTTGATCAAGATCAGGTCTCTCTCCAAACGCTCAACTTCCAATTCCTTTTTATTAATGACTGTTTTTAGTATTTATTTTCAGTTGTTTCACTTCTTCCAGAACCCACTGATTTTGAGCCCTACAATGAGTTAGATCATCCACTAGCTTTACACAGCGGGCTCGGTTAAAAACAACTTCTTTTGCCTTATTTTTTGTTAACGAGTCATTAATAAAGCTAACAGCCTCTGTGTGTTATCACGTACATCGTGAAAGGTTGAGTCAATATTTTCAAACGCCATATATATATATTGATGACACTTAGGCATAAACCAGTGGAAGTTTCATGGACTACCTCTGTTCTCTGTAAGATCCATCTCAACAAAAACAACAAAAAATCGCCCTTAAATTTGTGACGCTGCGCCTTTGCCCTTTCAATACAGTTTACACAAAAATCGCTTTGTTATCTCAACTCAGTATTATCCGTAGAGTAGAATCTGAGCCGTTGATGGTCCAAAAAGGCAGCAAACCACTCTTGTAGTGCAGTAAAAATAAAAGACTGCAGTGTGTAACTCTCAAAAGAAAATAAAGGGCAAGCCACATATATTCATGCAAAATTATTCGATAACAACCTTCTTCCATAGACCCATTGTCAATATTACAACATGTTTCAACAAAGGAACTGCCCAAAAATATGTGGTTTGCCGTCCCCCAGCCATCAAAGATATCAGAATTTAATATAATCGCCATAAAAGTGATGTAGCCCAGTCCACAGGGCTCTGAAAATACTTTCAGATTACCAAGCTGAAACCGGTCTTTTTTTCCAAAATCGTAATTTGCGTCTTTGCCTACTGAAGACGCATGTATTCATGAACAACAGTGGAAGTACCAGAATAGCAAACATCGCATTTTTCGCGCTATTGTCAAAGTTTTGATTCCAAGCATTAAATAATAGCATCCACTTCAGTAATGTGACGGTGTTTAGTATCTCACAAAGAAATTTCAATACCTTCCGTGTACTTCACAACTTGTAAAAGTACTCCCATAAACGCCCACGACGCAGCCATAGCAAATGCCTTTGTCTTTTGACTATTAAAAACTACAATTCCTTCAAGAAAAGATATTGGATTCATTAATGTACATATGAGAGTGAAATCAAGCAAGCTAAAAAAAAAAGTCTGAAAAACAAAGAAGTAATAAATAACAGTAACGAAATAAGTAAAAATTAGTTGACATAATGGGCAAAAAGGTTTTCAAAAAAAAAAGCCTCTGCGTCATACACAGCCACACTGTAACAGGGGTTGTACGGACTTCCTCTAATACCAAAAGAACTTTTTCCCCTCACAATACCATATAGTTCTACAATCTTTTACCCTACTATTCCATACATTTACACAGCAAAAAAAAAAGGAATAAAAAAAACGCGCTCAGCGTTGACGCTCAAAAACATATTTGGCAAATTTTGTTTCTTTTCTTACATTACCCAGCACAAATACATAAACTCTTGGAACCCAGTTAAAATAAACTGTTCCTTGTAGGTGTTCCGCTCCTACATTTCGGTTTCTATTTTACCAAATCCAAACAAAATAAGCAATGAATACATAGGAAAAAAAAACAAGCAGCAAGCACACGCCCCCATAAAAAAAGGTAAAATAAAACGTAATGATAATAAAACTATGAAAGCGCTCTCTACGGAATGGTGTTTGCGGCCATCAAAACATCAACACAATGCAAATTTTCTGGGGAGCTTATTTCCATTCTTTTCAAAAGTTCATTGAATCGCAGTTTTTCGTCTTCAATCTCTGCTTCCGTAGGAACGGTCATTTTTCCAAAATCATCACTTTGCATGATAACCTCAACTTGAGCTGACCTTCGTGCATCCTTCGTCCCAGGATTTTGGGCCACGATAGCAAGACGTTGTCGAGGAACGCCCCTATATAAAGAAGCCATTGTGAAACAAGCATCACCAACATGGTATTCGCGTGAGCTGTTCTTCGCCTTGTAATAGACATGAAGCGTTATCACATCCTCATCGGGCTGAGCAAGGTAAAAAACAAATGTTTCATCAAACCGTATAACTGATGCCAATTCTTTGACAGACGTCTTGTACTTTTCCTTTACCGATTTTCCCTTTATAATGACATATCCAGGTTCAGTAATTGGCTTGCCATTTCTCATTACATCGGACAATTCAACAATTGTAACGGCAAGATGCGCTCCATCTGCAACCACAGCCCTTCTTCTTTCTTCAGACAATTGAGTAGATGGTTGAGAATAAGTCAAATGCTCCACCGAATGACGTCTTGCACTTCCTCGAGGTGTGCGAGAATTGCGTCCGCTTGAGGGCCGTCCTTGGCTTGCTGTCTTTTTCTCTTGAAGATTCACGAGTTGCTTCCACAGCCCGTCATTTGCCTCCCGCATTGTTGCCAACTGAGTATTTAATTCTTGAATTCGTTTATCTCTTGATTTTGAAATTCCACTTGGATCAGCTTCCTTCTCTACAATAGCCGCCTCAAGTTCCCTCATTCTTTGTTCAATTTCATTTTCCTTCGATATGCCCTCTTGTCTTCGCAAAAGATCTTTATCATTTTTAAACCGATTTTCCAACTCAACTAAACGGGCCTGAAGATCATTGATTTTGTCGTCCTTGAGCTTATTTTCATACTGCAAGCTATAAAGCTGCTCCGTAAGATGCTCTTTTCCAGCTTGGTACGGATGGACATCTTTTTGACATTGTTCTTCTCGAGGATCAAAATGTTGTGTATCTCTACGCAATTCATCTTCTTTTCCCCGTTGTTCAACACCTGCGATTGCAGCGACAAGTTCAGCGTTTTCATGACGTAATTTTTTGATTTTTCTCTTGGACTCATCTTCACTCGCCCATGCATCCTCAAGAGCACGCATCACCTCATCCACGCAGTCGAGCTTATCCTTTGTAAATTTATTGATCAGAACAGGATCCATTCCAACTTTCTTTCTCTGATATTGCTCATTTTCGTTTAATATGAAATCCTGTATCTCATGGAAGCGATCTGCAGGAGGTGCTTTTAACGAATTATGTTCTGAAAAACGTAATCGAGTGCCGTCACTTTTGCGCAAAAGCTCTTCAATTTGTGCCAGTTGGCCATTTTGGCGAGCCTCTTGAAAAGCAAGTTGTTCTGCATGGGAAGACTTTAAATCTGTAAGTTGCCGTTCATAATGCCGTAACGTCGCGCGTAGCTGTTCATTTTCTCTCAAAACATCATCACTTTCGAAATCTGAAACCTTTTCGCGTTTGGTTCCATGCTCAATGTCAGAAACCACGGACAACATAGTGTTTTTTTTGGCAGACGCGAGAAGCACTTCTAGTTCCTTTATACGAACCTCACGTTCACTTGAGCGATCTTCCATACGAGAACATTTGTCCTGAAGATTTTCAATTTCTTCTCGAAGTAACTCATTTTCTTTTGAAACCTCCATATTCTTTTGACTCAGATTATCATTAATCTCTTCAAGTGTTTTAATTCGGCTTGTATTCGTTTGTAGTTCCGTTTCAAGTTCACTGATACGCTCATCTTCGTCATCATTTGGGGCGCATCTCATAGGAAAACTTAATGGAACACGACTTATCCTACGTTCTCCTCTAAAAGCCGTGACTTCCTGTTTGAAAGAAGCCAACTGTTCCTGAAAAGCGTGATAAACGTCCTTATCTCCCTGATTATTATTATTCTTCAAGGAGTCAATTTCACATCGAAGAGCAGATTCAAGTCGACACCACTCCTTCTCTTTCGCTCGAAAGCGATCTTCAGCAAGACGCATTTTTTCCTCAAGCTCGGCGATATCCTCTTTCAGAAGAGCTTGTTGAAGCTGTTGTTCATTGCCGCGTTCCTTTATATCTCGGCATTCTCGCTGTTGCGTTGAACCATCAAACCGTTGAATGGACGCGAGTAATTCCTCATAATCTTGAATGTAACGCGTTCTTTCAGCTTCCCAAGCCTCCTTTACAAGTGCCCATTGGTGCTGCTCTTCCCTGAACCGATCCTCAATTTCAGTGTTTTTCTTCTTCAGGCTAAGGATTTGAGCATCCGCTTTTTCCTGTTCCTCGGTAAGGAATTTACACCTATGCTCAAGCTGGTGTTCTCTTTGAATAACTTTGTTATTTGAGGTACGAAGCTCATCAATATCCGATCGCAAATGGTTGTTTTCCTCAATTAATTTCATGGCCTCTGCACGTACCATTGTTCTGGCTTTTTTTTCAAGCTCACCTGACTTCAGCTTCAGCAATAAAGAATTATTCTCCTCTTCGAGAACTCTTGCGTTTCGATTCGCAAGAGATAGTTTGTCCTCAACATCACTAAGCTCTTTCAGCTGAGTCTTCAAATCCCGAATACGAACGTCTTGTTCATATTCTTTCAGTTCCTTTCTCGCAAGTTCCTCTTTGAGTTCCGTACACAGTGCAGTGAGCTCCTCTATTTTTTGCTTGTGTTCAATATTTTTCTGCTGCATCCATTCTGCAGACAACATCCTTGCTGGACTTTAAATTTTAAGTGCTTTCGCACCGTGCTCTTACGTCGCATGAAAAATAAGAAACAAAGAACAGATAAGTTGAAAGCCACCATGCAAGGTATACAAAAAATTTGCAGAAAAATATCGAGATGCAGGATCCAAAATAAAGAAGAGCAAAACTCCATCCAAAATACCAAAAAACGTTGTAAACAACAATTCATCCTCACAGAACACGTTTCCCACACTCCTGCCGACAGGGGGGGGGGGGAAGTGAAACTCAAACAACACAAATAAAAAAAAACCCGCGGAAGACGGAGCGCACCATTTTCCATATTTTAAAACACGCCAGACGCCACCCCCAAACACAAGAAAAGAAGTGACAACAGTGACGGCATCGCGTTTTGTAACCCTTTGAGCCCTTCGCGCCGCCCCCCGGACGGGAAAGCGCGTGGCGACCCGGCGCGCGGCGACTCGGCGCGGGGCCGCCGGGAGGGGGAGGAGAGGGCAGCGCCGCTGACTTTCGGCTATGCTTTTGGATTTTTTCTAGGGCGCCATGGGGCTGGTTGGTTGCGGTGGCGCCGCGCCGGGGGAAATATGTTTTTTTTTTATGTTTTTCTTCCTCGCTTGGGGTCGTATTGTTGCGCCCTCTTCGTCTAGTGTTGTGCTTCCTTGCCCCTGCCGTGGCGGAGTGTGCCGTTCCTTTTTGATGATGTACGCAGGGGGAAGGGGTGATGTGTGTTTTGTGCAGGGTCAATTATGTGACCACAATAGCCCTTTCGTTTTCTTTTGTTTTCGTTAATTTCTGATTGGTTTTCATACTTGCCTATTTTTTTTATTGTTAGCGCGACGCAATGTCGTGGAGGTATGAGGAAGTCACAGTTGCGTGTGGTAAGGCTTTAAGTGAGGAGCGAAACGGGCGAAGGCGCTTCTTACTTAATGTAATAGCAAAAGACCTTGCTGAATTAGGGTCCATTGTGGGGGAAAAAACCGGCCAAAAAGTACATGAAGCTAATGGAGAAGCTTCCCTACGGACCGATAACAATAATATAGGGTCAGAGGATAGCTTACTTAGTCGCGTGGGTTTTGTTACACAGTTGGTTCTTGTGGAAAATTGCGGGAGTCGTTTTTCAACCAAAGGATTAATAGCTCTACTGGAGTTTGCAGCTGTACTCCTTAATTCAGGGCTTATTCCTACCTCCCTGGTATGTGTACCTCCTGAAATAAGTATACCTGAGAGTGCATCCGGCCGCACAGGTGTTTTTTTTTCAAAACTTCTTGGCGGTGGGACATGCGCAACATGGCGTTCTGCGCAAAATGCTTCCGTTGAAAGTGCGACTGCAGAAACTGAAATAAAAAATGAAGCAGTAAATGTATTTACTGCCGTGGTTGAAGGAATATTAGTAATTGCACGACATATTCAGGGTAAGGACGTTAATGATCAACTCCTATTTACGTTGGTTACGGCTCTTCAAGCATCTGCAGTTCCTAGTTCTGGTCGTACAAGCTTATCTGAGAAACAACGTGATGACTACAATAATTATTTTCTTGCCGTTCGGGGAGGTGTGCTCTTACAGGTATTTAAGGAATTATTTGGAGTCGTTAAGAGAAACAACGTCATTTTTCCTCTGGTTGAAGAAGCAAAGTCGGCGTTAAACTGCATTGCAAAAACGTTGTCGAAAGCAATAGAATATGAGACCACAGAAGTAAGTAATGAAGAGGGTGCAGTAGACACCACAGCTGGCGGAGGATACCAAACAGATGCAGCTAGAATAATGGAGTACTGTTGTAGTTTAACAGGGTCCTCGGAGTCACCTTCCTGTTCTCCTCGAAATCAAGGAACTACTGTGGGGGTTATTGCTGTACCTAATGATACTTCTATAATGTTGCTTACAGCTCTTGGCATTATTCTTCATTTAACTGTAAATGGAGGGCCCACGTTTAGGAACTCAAAGACAATTCTCTCTGTCGTGAAATTTGCAGTTATTCCTTGTACCTTAACCACCGCGTTGTTGAAGGACTTGGGTGCGTTTAGGCTCTCAGTGAATGTTTTATTGACTTGCACAATGACTTTTGGACACTTAATGGTGAATGAAACTGAAACAATTTTCCGTCACTTGTTTTTCCGAGTATTGGAGTCCAAAACAAGCTCCTTAACGCAGAAGTCTATTGTTGTAGAAGCGTTTCGTCGTTATATTGAAGAGCCACAAAATCTGATAGCACTGTTTCTAAACTATGACTGTAATACTTCTTCCCAAAGTGTTTACGAGCAGATGATTGGGTATTTGGCTGCCTTATCAGTGCCTTTTGGTATGAAAAGGAATGATATAACAGATTGCAATGAAACACTCTCTGGAAGGATTGTGCTAGATATTTCAGTTCCGGAGCCACTTCAACGAAACGCATTAGAGACTCTTCTATTGGTTGTATATTCTAACCTTCAATGGATAGAACGATTTGAATGTGACCAAAACATTTCCATTGTCCATGCTTCAACTTTCAATAGTCAATCAGGAATACCAGAATTGCCTAAATCCTTGGATAAACGTGTTGAACATCAAGGAGAAATAGTTGTATCTGCTTCTGTTGAAAGTGGAAATGATCCGTTTGTTCATGCCCTTCGAGTAAAAGATGCTTTTCGGAAGTTCACGTATCTTATGAATGATGTAAAAGATTTCAAAGCTGCAATTGAGTTTTTAACTAAGGAACCTTTGTTGCTTCCAAGTCTAAGAGCGGAGGTGGGGGAGGATGAAACAAAATATAGTAAATATGTGAAAGTTGGGGAGCTGGCCCTTCGGAGTGGAATATTGAAGCATTCAGAAACGACATCAAATGGTCCTATAAAAACTTCTGAGAATCCGGAAGAAATATCCGTGTCTAACGCCGAATCGATTGCTCTTTTTTTAAAAGAGAAGGAAGACTATATTGACAAATTGGTACTTGGAGAATACTTTGCAAAAAGCTTTCGAGACCGGCAGAGTCGTATGATCTTTGTGAAGTGGATTGAACAGCATTCCTTTGCTGCTATGACACTTGATGCGGCACTTAGATTGTTTTTAGGGGGTTTTAAGCTTCTTGGCGAAGCTGAAGTTGTTGACAAAACGATGGAACTTTTTGCAGCACAGTATTGCAAGGAAAATCCTTCAGCTTTTCACTCCGCTAATACAGCCTTTATTTTGTCGTTCTCGATTTGCATGTTGAATACCGATGCCCATAGCCCGCATGTAAAAAACAAGATGACACTTGAAGAGTTTACACGTAATAATAAGGGCATTGATGAGGGAAATGATGTGGATCCAGATTTATTGAAGGGCATTTACGCGCGTATTGTAGGAAATGAAATTAAGCTTCGCCCCTCGAAGTTTGTATCAAGTGAAAAAAATATTGGAACCATCCTTGGTAAAACGTCTTCATCTAGTACCAGAATTTCTTCAGGTTTATTGGAGTCAATTCCTATTTTGAAACACTTTGCACCTGTTGCAAGAAGAATAACTGACACTGTTATGATACCTTTGGATGCTGCAGGAAATGCGCTTTTTAATACCCTGCGTCGAAAACAAGAGGAAATTTACCAAACTGAACTTCGTAGCGCCTTGAAAGATGTAATGGAAGCATTGGATACTGCCAATGCACTCAAGTCTAGCTATGTGGAAGCCACAAGAATTGAGAATGCGATACCAATGTGGGGGATAACAGTAGACTATGTGGTACGATGCCTTTTGTGCGCATTTGAAAATTTTTTCTCCACCGCGGAGAGTACCGTTATGCCTGCAGGCGTTCAAGGCTTCAATGATTCGACGCAACGATACATGGATGTGCCCGATAATAGGGAATATTTTGATCTTCTTCTTCGAGGTGTAGTTAATACTATTCGTGTATGCTGCGATTTTGGGAATATTTCTCATGCAGAGGATCTTATCGAGCGTCTTTTTTCTATTACTCAGCTTTCAAGCGTTGTGGTTCTTTCGCAGCAACCAATACCTTGTGTAAGCATTTCAAATGGAATTTCAAAACCAAGAATTGAATTATTAGCTACATTACTGAATTTGTTTCTTGTAAATGGTGCTTCATTAACCACAAGGGGTTGGCGCGTGGCGTATACTGGGGTTTCTCTCTTAGACCTGATTTCCAACGGATTGGAGGGGATTTGGAGAAGACAGTGCCGAAGGCCACTTTTAGGTGAAGTTGACAAACCTCCTCCAGATACTTGGTTTAAAAATTTAGAAGATGTTCCACCTTCTTTTGACAAAGGTTCGATTCGAAAACGCGCTACAATTTTGGAGGCTTTAAGATGCTTTTCTTCTGTTGATACGTGGCTAGAACGTTTATTCGATGCCACAAGGTATCCATCTCAAACACAGGCCTTTATGTCAAATGCACTGGTTTCTGTATGTGAGAATGAATTAAGGTCTGCACGTACATTTGCTCTTACAAAATTATTGGATTTTTTAACTGTTTGTGCTTCATTTAGTTCGCGAATGCAGTGGAGAGATTTATGGACCAATGCTAACAAAGTCTTCACTGTGGCTGGTACAATGGCATTCGACATTGCAAATTCTGCTTTGGGGGGATTACGGATTATCGCACTTAGTTACCTCATGCGTGAAGAGCTTTTGAATTATTCGTTTCAAAAAGAGGTTCTTATGCCGTTTGAATCTATTTTGATGGGTAATCAAGATGTCCATATTCGCCAAAAAGTAATTGAAGTGATATCTGAACTTGTAGAGTTTCGTACCAGTCGTTTGGCTAGTGGATGGAGTGTTGTATTTTCAATTTTGAGCCACTGTGCAATGATACCGGAAGTGGTTAAATCAGCCTGGGAGCTTTCTGAACGTGTCATTACCTTACATGTTGCTCTCATGAAAGATTGTTTCGGAAATCTGGTATTCTGTTTGACATCGTTTGCGTGTAATAAAGTGGATGAAGAGGTTGCACTATTAGGTATTTCGTACCTGAGGGCATGTGGTCATTGGCTTCAGTTTGGGTTAGAACCTCCTCCAGAAGACGTACGGAATGCTAGTGCTGTAGCTGAATGGTCCGGACGATTTAAGGACGCTGATAATGAAGCAAATGCAGCACAGTTTAATGTTGGGTTACCACGGGTTACGCTCTCGACGATTTCTATCACTTCACATCAAACGTTGGAAAAACCAAGAAGTCTTACAGCGAAAACAAATTATCATTTATGGATGTCACTATTGGAAGGAATGAGTCCAATTATATCACTTAATCTTTCTGTGAGAGTTAGGGCGCATGTCATATGCTCTCTTTGGGCTCTTATTGAACAGTATGCTGTAGCGTTTGCCACGAATATACAAGAATCTCTTTTTACTGAAATTTTAAGACCAGTTTTGTTTAACCTTCTTATGCATGTCCCAGTTGATCGGGAAACTGTTATCGATCCAGTGGATTATAAACTATTGGCATTACTGACTCTCAAAAGCATGTTTTTAGCTTGTCGTCATCATCCGCATCTGTTACACCTGGCCTGTAAAACATTTTTGACCATTTGCACGTCAGCTTTTTCATTGGAGCATGTCCAATCAGGTCTTATAGATGTGATATTGCGTATATGCGTGGATCTTGACCCACGTGGATTTGCTACCTGCCTGAATTCGTCTGAAGCAACATCCGAACTCTGGGTAAGCAGACTTCTACATGAACTCCTTCAGGTTGGTCACATTGATGTTATTCACTTTAAAAGAACTTCTGGATGGAATGAATTACATCATTCAATAGCCGCTACCACGCTTAGTATAAATTTTGATTCCAATATGGGAGATGAAGCGCGTACTAGGGTTATTGATACTGTTCTTACTGCCCTAATTGACGGTGTAGCTGTTCAACTTTCAGCCACAATGCATCGTTGCAGCTCACAAGAAGAAAAATTGCTGTGTTTTAGGGCGATGCGACGAACTTATCTAGTCATTGCCTTGTTTTCTTCGGCTGATTCCACTGGAAAAGTGTTTTCTCGGCTACTTACTGGAGTATCTTTTTCCTCCTCTTCGACAATTCCTGAGCAACAATTGCTTATTCCTTACATATGCGTGCTTATCGAGTTTGTGTTTGTTTTGCGTTCCGCTCCGCCCATACGTGAAGAAATTCAGGCATTACAAGAAGCCATTAACGTAATCTCTCAAACGATTCGAGAATCACGTGAGTTTTGTATTCGGAGCCAGTCCGAGTATATCAGCGCTCTAGAGAATGAAAAGGCAAAGGAGGGGACGGCAGGTGTTTTTAAAAAACAAAGAGGCCGATCATTTATCGACATATTTCGCTCTGGCAGAGCTCCTTTGTCTTGTCTTTCACAAGACGTTTCCCACACCGTTGCGGAGCGAGTTCTTAACGAATGGAGGTATCTGACACACACTCTTGGGTTAAGATATGCTTTCACCTTTGATGGTGTCACAGCAAATTGCATTACTGCTGACTGTCTGCACGACCTTATACTGTTATTCCCCAGTGAGTTGGAAGAAGAGCTAGTTGAGCCTTTCATTTGCAGTTGTTGGGAGGAACTTGATGTGGGGGTACCTCTCATGGGAGTTTCCGCTATATCGCAGACTCTTATTGTTCTTGAGCGAAAGAGGAGTCTACCACATGCGTAGTGGCTAAGGAAAAAATATGGCAATACGGCGCATGTTGGTCATTGAAAATGCACACTGTATGGCACGTGGAACGATGCGACTTTTTTTCTAATTCAACGTGTTTGAATTCTTCAAACTGTTTTTTCCCTGCAAAATTCGAGCCCTTTTCTTTGTGGTTTCTTCAAAAGACAGAATAGAAAAAAAGTTGATGCATATTTGATGTAACCTTTTCTTTTCTGCCCACCCTTTTTTGTCCTGTAAAAACTCTGTGTGCAGAAAAAAATGTACGATTGTGCCTCTTTTATTGTGTCGTGGCCTTTTTTTTTATCTTCTTTTTTTTCCTTTTTTTTTTCAGTGTACTTGACAGTTAATTGGCACAATTGTAGATATAACCAAAACAACAACAACTGGGCAAAACACCTCCGGTGTTACACAGTCACTATGGCGTATCTTTGAGTATGGGGCGACCTCAGAGCAGGGCACTCGAAAGACAATGGAAGACCAGCACGCCATGGTTTCAGAAACCATTCCTTTTTTTGCCGTGTATGACGGGCATGGTGGCACACAGTGCGCGGAGTTTCTTCGCGACAATTTGCACACATTAATTCTTAGTCACTCAGATGTCATGACGAATCCCGAGAAGGCGGTACGTGATGGGATAGCCAAGGCTGAGGCGGATTTTTTAACAAAATGTGCCAATGGTAAATGTGAGTCTGGCAGCACCTGCGCCGTCGCCATGATTGTGGATGACACGCTGGTGACTGGCAATGTTGGTGACACTGAGATAGTACTGTGCCGAGAGGGGTCTCCACTGGTGTTGTCAAAGAGCACAGCCTACATAGCAACGAGGCGGAGAGTGAGCGTGTCAAGGCCT